AGACAAACACAGTGATTCTCTATTTCAGTGAAGAAATATTCCACTTTCCACCTGTCCTGGAAGCGGCGGCCCTCACTGTCAACTTTCCTTCTCTTATTTACAGTCGCCATTTTTTTAAATTGACCAGAAGGGGAAGGGATCATGTGAGCGCAGTGCCAGAGGTTTAATACACTGCCCAAGTAATACACTGCACTAATACACTGCCCAACAAGAATTCTCTTGCCTTTGTGGCTGTTTGTGGCGAAGTCTCTAATGATGAGCTCCACGTGCCGGAGCCCGTTTGTGGCGAAGTCTCTAATGTTCGCAGCTCCACGTGCCTGAGCCCGCCAGGAAGCTGACAGTGCACAGGGCCAATCACAGATACTGAGCTTGAGCAGCTGCGGAGTCCGTCCCTTCAGGGGTGTCCAAACTTTTTTCAAAGAGGGCCAGATTTGAAGAAGTGAACATGCGTGAGGGCCGTCCCTGCACTCTCAGCCCCAAGGCGGAGGGCCCGCAGGGTCGCAGGCGGGCGGAGAGCGCAGGGCACGCTGGCCTCACGGTGGCCCGGGGGCAGGGCGAACCCGTAGCCAAGCGGGGGAGCGGGGCTGCGGACGTGCCCTACATGGAGGACTTTAGGACCGCAGCAGCCGCCATGGACGGCGGCGGCACGGCCGGAAGCGGCGCCAGTCAGAGGAGCGCCGGGGAGCCAGGAGAGGGGGAGGAAGCGGGGGCTGTCCCTGCACTCTCAGCCCCAAAGCGGAGTGCAGGGGCAGGGTTTGGGACCGCGGTGGCGGCGGCGGCGGCCCGAAGCGGCGCGCTGAGCGTGCCAGTTAAAAAAAGCACTGGGGAGCCGGGAGAAGCGGGGGGCCGTATTAAATCCGACCGCGGGCCGCATTTGGCCCGCGTGCCGGACTTTGGACATGCCTGCCTTAGGTAAAACCATATTTGTTTCTCCAAGTTCACAGCAGATTTCATCCCACTGCCAGAGGGTCCCTTATCCTGCCTTCCTGATGGAAGCCAGCTACATCTCTAGGGCAACTGGTGTTTCTCACCTGATTTATTCTCTGTTTAATATTACTGACATATTTTAAGTGAGAATTTAGGGCTGCCTGAAGTTGAACTGTTTCCTTTTGCTGGAAGGAGTGTCCTTGAACATGTAATACAAACTTGGTAATATGTTTTCAAGCAGAAATCTAAAATCTATCCAGCTACTTCTGAATACTCCATAAACAGTGTTCAGTCTTTGAAAGCCAATGCTAAGGAAATTACTGTTGTGCTGTACTTCCTGATCTTTTGCCCTTTCTCTAGCATGCTCTTCCTTATAAAGGCCTCAGGTTACAAAGACATCTCCCAGTTTTTCCATTTTGCTCACTGGGAAACAAGCTGAAGTGAATTGATTTGTCTCAGGTCACATACCAGGTTAGCAAAAAGAAGAGCTAGTAATAAAACTTGGAACTGCCAACTCCCCATTCTTCTGTACTAGAATGTTTTCCTTTGCTATATTATTATAGACTTTTCCCCATTGGGAACTAGTCAGACTGAAACTGTCATATGTGGTTAATGCTTAGTCCTTGAATGATGGTATTGAGAAGTCAGACGAGGTGGGTTAGGTCATATCTTTCATTGGACCAAATTCTGTTGGTGAGAGGCACAAACTTTCAAGTGAGATACTCTTCAGACATTTAAAAGAAATGTGAATGCGGCTGTCCCTCCACAGTCCTATCCTTATTATGTACATTTACTCCATTCTCTGATGTTCAGTTTGAGTTAGGCTATGTGCTAAAACTGATTTTGTCAACGTTTATACACAACACCCTGAAGAAAAACTAGCAAGGCTTTTTAGTCCCTGTCAAGGCTATTCCCCGCTCTGGCACTTTGTCAGTACCTTGCCCCCTAAAGGCATGTGTTAATACTCCCCAAGGTCATAGATTCCTTGGCCATGGATTGGTATCGTAGCCACCACCCAAATGAAAAAACTCCTTTGAGAACCCAGGAAGGTGCACTTGAGAATTCCTTTTTGTAGGGTATGCTCAAGCTTTCTTAACCCTCACTCATCTTGAAAATTATAATTTCTCTTAGTAGTTTGGCTTTGCAATCTTAGGCAGGTGTACACAGAACTTCCTGCCTTGTTGGACACAGGAAACATATCATGGTCTTAAAGGAGTAGTTTCTTTGTCTTGTTAATAAAAAACACACTTGTTGAAACATTACTTGATTGCTAGAGCATCTAAAAATGATGCTCCCTGGAATTGCTTCCCTGGAATTCAGTTTGGAAAGTTACAGTATGAAGGGGAAGTTACATGTGCTCAGGATACAGAAGTCAACAAACCCAAAATTAAAAAAAAAAAAATCTAATCGCAACTGACTATTCTGCTGACACATCTGTTTTAAGATTTAGTCCTTCCCTAAGAATATGAACTCCATGCATAGCTCCCTGACTTAATTCGTGTCCATCCAGCTCTGGTTATACAACAGCAGGAACAGGAAGGCCACTGATTTCAGTTCAAAAGCCCACACGCTGTTTCAGTTGGCTCTCCTGGCCTCCTGTCAACTCACTTCCTGCTTCCTTAACATTCCTGGGGACTCTCTAGGACCCCCTGTCTATGGTTTTAACCATTACAGGCAACACAATTAGGTTCGGTTCCAAGAGTTAACTACGGGGAGAGACTTTAGTTAACTGAATGGCTGGAATGTCCAGAAAAGGATACAGACCTCCTCATTCATCAGTCCCAGACTTGATTTGATTAACCTGTTTATATTGTGATGGTTAACCTTGATTTGATTAACCTGTTTATATTTGTCTTATTAAAAAACAAAAGCTGTGTATGGCACAGAAATGCCATAATCACTGTTTTTGTAGGTCTGAGCAAAGCAGATTTTGTGCTGCTCCTTTGGTTTTGCAGCTCCAATTCACTAGTGAACCTTATTACTGCAGCATATATATTGATGCTGGTATGTATGGAGGTCTTGATCCTATACATTTTGTAATGGGATATAGTCACATGTATAAAGTTAGTCAGGTGTGTCTTTGCAGGATTGAGGCTATAGATATTTTTTGTCATATACAACAAATAGAATATCTTGTTAAACCAAAATAAACTGGTCTTATGTATAATTCAGAATAGGCCTGCTAATAAACATGTTTATATTACACAACTTATTTCATTCACGGTTCTGGAAGGTTTTACTTTAGACCTAATTTTTATTAATGAAAGCCACCATTTTACAGTGTACAAGTATTTTCCAAAACCAAAAAGCTGCTGAGTTGATTTATTTGGTACACAGTATTATGCCCGTACAGGTTGAACCTTTCTAATCCAGCATCCTCGCGATCTGACTGGTACTGAACCAGAGAATTTGCTGCACCATGGGTGGCCAATATTGTTTAGCAGCATTGCCATCACTTCCACTTCTTACTGGGCTCCTAGACATTTGGGGTAAATTAAAGCTAAATAACAGCAGAGAACACTGAGAGCCAGGGCTTGTGGCTGTAAACAAAATTTATGGGACTGCAGGAAACTTGTCTGTATTCATAACTGGACATCCGACTAAATAAAATCATGCTGGACCACGGATGTTGCCGGACCAGAGAGTACTGGACATGGGATGTTCAACCTGTGGTACCTGGTCCAGTAGTCCTTTAAAGGATATTTGTGCTTGGAGAAGATTTGTGAGGCAAAAGGTTTTTTGGGAGGTGGGTTAGGTGATCTTTTCTCTATTCATAAATGACTAAAAATGCAGACTTGAGTTCATTCTGCTCTGTGGCTGCATATCTGAGTTTTGGACCCTAAAACTGTTGTTAAACAATGTAAGAGTTGTTACAATCTGAGCATGCACTTTAAACAGCAGCTTGGTTAATTTTAAATAAGATTTCACAGGACTTTCTATAACACTGAAAAGGTACAGTGCACAGAGTACAGTATTAAATATGGATCAATAAATCCGTCTTCTCAAACACTATTATGTCATCAGGAAGCTTCTATTGCACCATTTGGTTTTAAAACAAATATTGTACTTAAAAATGTGCACATAGAATAGGGATGTAAAAGAGTAGTTGATTAATCGAGCTGACTAATCACATTTTCTCCACCACCACCCCCTTTGCTGTGTCTATATTGGGGCAACAGTGGGGGAGAATAGGAGTTCTCCTTCCCCTACCTGCACTGCTGCCTCTATTAGCAGGGGAGGACAGGAGAGGCTGCTCTGGCACAATTCTCTTAACACAGTCTCTTTCATAAATGTCCTTTAGTCTATAAATTGTTTCAATTGTAATCCAGTGCAGCATGACACTTTGGTTTTGATTCATAACAGTGGTTTTATGTTTATCAGAATGAGATGGTACATTCATGCAGCAGTTGTTCACCCTTACCTTAGTATTCCCAAAATATTTCTCTCATTTCAAATTCTTATAATCCTTCACACAGGTAGCTGAGCAGAATTCATTAACTTTTATGCATTTTTAGGATGCAGTTTGGTGACCATGTTGATACACAATATGTAGTTGCATAAAATAGGACCATAGAAAGTTGTTTGCAAAGCCAACAGAAGTAATGCCAAGATTTTGGGGTTTTTTAATCTTAAAGTAGCAATTGGACACAGTTTCTGGAAGTATATGCACAACATCTACTCTTTACCATAAAAATATTTCACCATAGGTAGCCCTTCAGAGAGATTGGTGAGACATTGCAGAAGATGTGTTAATTTACCAAGGGTGAAATAAAGGCAGAGAAGTTAAAGGCACATAATCTGTATTTCTGTTTGGAGCTTACATATAGTTTGTAAGAGATTGTTTCTGTCTCTGCAGCATGCTCCTTTTTAGAACTCTGGATGAAGACTACTCAGTATCTACAGACACTAAAGAAATGAGTCAGACACTGGAAAATGGAATGCTATTTGTGGATTTTTTTTATTTTTTTTTAAATTTCAGAAGTCTTTTCATGCTGGTTTTAGCTGAGGAAGGGTCAACTTCTGTATGTATGATTATATAAAATAAAATGTTGATGTTGGTGTCTTTGTTATAGATGAAGAACCAGAGCCTGCTGATGGAAAAATTGTGTTCAGGAAGCCAAGTAAGCGTTCATCAGAAGGGAAATTTTCAGGCCTGACTGCAAGTTCAAGTAAGAAGAAAAAGGAATCAAAGAAAATTAAGGAGGATTCAACATCCCCTCTGAATGCAGCTAAACAAATTAAAAATAGCAGTCTTCTCTCATTTGATGATGAAGAAAATGATGATTAGGAGTTGTGCATGTTTGTTTTTGCATAATTTCCATTACAAACATTAGAGCAAATATGAGGTGCCTCTTTTAAGTGGAGACTTAGGGCCTGATTCTCCTTTTACTCGGGTAAATCCACTGATGTCAGAGGAAGACAGTATAACTCTCGTGTGAGGTGAGAGTCAAGCCCTAATTTTTCAGTTCATATGGTTCTGCATGCACAGTATCTTTGGACTGTATTTTTAAAAGAGAACTTAAATGTGTGCGCAAAATAAAATCCATAAAATGGCTGTTTAAGATCCCAGATCATTAGCAAAATACTTGTGTAGATATAAAACTTATGAATATATTAGCAAAATTAATATTTCTCCCATTTTATTTACTCTTCTCCCCATTTACTTAGAGTTCATAAGTGTGTATTTTTTGTCCTGTTAAAATTGACTTAACTAATAATCAAAATAGTATATATACTTGTGGGCTAAAATCTTTAACTCTTACTCAGATATAACTTGTAAGTCTCCCCCTTCCCTCCAAACATATGGGCTGAATTATTGGGTCTGTGTCTTGTAGTCCTTAGCTGTATGACTCAGCACCTAGTAAAGCCATGAGAATTTTGATTTCTGCCCTTAGTGGATGCAGATGAAGTCTGTAAGCACTCACTTCAGTGGAACTGCTCTGTGAGTAAAGGTTACAGGATTGGATCCTCAGTGATTGCATCAGCTCTTGCACAGCAAAGAAATCTCTGAACTGTGAATTTGGAGATTATGTAAGGAAAGCCATTTAGCCCATTATCATAGCACCTAAAATTGACTGTATGCATAACTGGAGAGAAGTATATGTATTTGTAACTATGTTTGTGTATTTGTGGTTATTTGGGATCTCAGACACCTTACTGTAAAATTTCATTTCACTTGTAGCTATATAAAATTGTTTTAGAGTGGAAACATTGTAAGCAGGAACTGTTGGGGAACACTGCAGGTTAATACAAGATACAAAATAAATCAGGAAGTTGGGTAGCTGTGACAGTATCAAATTTGTGAACTCTTCTACTGTCACATACAGCTGATGAAAGTGACCATTAAATGGTTTACACAAAGATTCCAGATAACATTAAGAGCTGATGTGGTTTCCAACAACAACAAAAAAATCCTGTTGATGTAGTGTGTCCTTTGAAACTGTTTGGATGTACCGTAAAATCTCGAGTATAATGTGCACCTACGTATAGTGCGCACCCTGAGTTTATACTCTTAAAATCATGAAAAACCCAAACTCCTAGGTATAATGCGCACCCATTATACAGGAGAATGGGAGGGAAGGAACCGGAAGGAAACCTGGCGGTGGCCCCCGGCCGCCCGGGGGGGGGGGGGGGGGGGGGGGGGCCCCCCCCCCCTCCCACCTGCCAGTGCACCAAGCTTGGTGCCTGCCGGAGGAGCCTCCCCCATCTAGCTGCCCATGCACCGAGCTCACGCCTGCCGAGGGTGAGTTTAAAACTTTTTAAAAAAATGTCCTATAGATAATGCTCACCCTGTCTTTGATGCTAAAAAAAAGGGAAAAATGTGTGCATTATACTCAAGATTTTACGGTAATTGAAGGTAACCAGGAGCTGATAGTAGACTGCTGCAGAATTATAAGATAACAGGCCAAGGCCCCACTTCCTTGATTGTGACAGAACATGTGGAATGAATGGGAATGTAAAGCTTCATTAAGGAGCTGATCTAAAGTTGCTGTGTGAGACAGCTATTTTTAGTTCATCTTAGTTAATATTGGTATTGCAACATTAAATGTGTGAAAAAATTTATCTTCTGTGCATGTTTTATAAGTGGTCAAAATCTATTTCAGTAGGTTACACAAGATATCTAATCCATCTGACTTGAAGCCGTTAACCCACTAAATCAGTCAGCATGCCCATAATGAAATTTTATGTTGGCGTACAATACCTGCAATGATCCCACGGCTAATGGGGTCTCAAAACAATATTTTCTAACATATGTAATTGAAATGGGAATTTCATTAGTGCATTTATGGATTCGGTTTGAATTTTTCTAAGTTTATTTTCTGTAATAGAACGTATATCAAAATAATAGCCGATAGTTGGTAACTTAAGGTGCTGCAACTGGTTAATTATGTGCACAAAACTCATTTGAGTCCAGTTTTTTTGGAAAATGTAATATGATCATGAGAAATTGACTAATCTACAGCATATTGCCCTGAACATTTCAACAAATATTTTCTTGGATTGAAATATACTCTAGCTCAGTGATGTTCAAACTGTCTATTCTGTTGTATCATTTTCTGGGGTCTGACTTGTCTTGTGTATTCCCAAGTTTCACCTCATTTAAAAACCAAATTAAAAAATATAAAAATCACAGTACAGCAGTACTGAAAAATTGTGTACTTTCCCATTTACCATATTATAAAATAAGGTAATTGGAATAAAAATATTGTATTTACACTTCAGTGCATAGAATAAAGTAGTACAAATATTTCATTATCTAAATTAAATTTTAGTTTGTGCTGAATTTCCTAGTGCATTTTATGTAGCCTTTTGTGTATAACCAGGAAGATATTTAAATGAGTTAGTGTATCTCTGGCAGATTTCTGTATACCTTTGGGTATATATATCCCTGGTTAAAAACCACTGCTGTAACTCACTGAAACTTGTTTGGAAGAATGAGTTAATCTCTGAGCACAGCCGTACATACATAAACTTTTCTGGGTCTATTTGTCAGCTTAAAAATACTTTATTTACATCTTTCTTATGCAGCCTGAAAGCTCTGGTTATCAAGTGATAATTGCTTGCCAAGGGATCAGAAGGAATTTGGATTTACTTAAAAATTAAAGGCTATGTCTAGACTGCAAGCCTCTTTCGAAAGAGGCTTTTTCGAAAGTATATTTCCAAAAACCCTCTTTCAAAAAAGAGCGTCTAGACTGCAAGCAGTACTTTCGAAAAAGCAAGCCGCTTTTTTGAAAGAAAGCAGCGAGTGAGTCTGGATGCTCTCTTTCGAAAAAGCCCTGTTGGCATTCAAGAACGCCTTTTTTCGAAAGAGCACTTTTGAAAAAAGGCGTTCTTCCTCGTGAAATGAGGTTTACCGCCGTCGAAAGAAAAGCCTCATTCTTTCGATTTAATTTCGAAAGAACGCGGCTGCAGTCTAGACGCAGGTGAAGTTTTTTCGAAAAAAGGCTACTTTTTTCGAAAAAAAACCCTGAGTCTGGACATAGCCAAAGAGTCCACAAACCTACAGCTGATTCTGCATGTTCAAAATAAGACTGATATGATGTTTGAGCACAGTGAATGAGTATACTTAAATAGAGCTGCTTATTTTGTAGTGGAAGAAATTGTATTTCACCTCGTAGGGCACCTACCAATAACTATATAACTAATTGGATATATTTAATTGGATACTGTGAATGATAAAAAAAAAAGTTAGACATGGAAATTCACTACAGTTAATATAAAACAGTGGGAGAATTAATACACACCATCAATTCAACATGGCACTAGTATGGGGAGTGGGACTCAGTTCCTGGTTCTCTCTCTGGCCTGCTTGATGATTTTGTGCAAGTGTGTGATGAGGTCTACTTTCCACACCAGCCCTGAAAAAGATGAATTAGGCCAAGTGGGCCCAATCAGCCAATTAAGCTGCAAAGGTGGGAGATTTAGGCTATGCAGTGATTGGCAGTGAGGAAGTTTGCAGTCTCTGTCCCTTAGTTAAGGGAGAAGGAAGGAAAGATGGGAGCTCCTGAGAAAAGGAATAGGAATCCATGAAACATTTATGTAGTAGGACTAAGAGACAGGACTTACTAGGAAAAATGATGAAAAAGAAGCAGAGGGAGAAGTAGTCCAAAGAAGAGGCAAAAGGATTAGTGCAATCCCCAGTGCCAGGACAGGCAGGAAGCCTGTCTTAGCACCTTCGCTATGCCACTGACAGGGAGCTGCTAGAGTAAGCCTGTGCCCCAATCCCTTGCCCCATCCATGAGCCCCTCCAAACCCAGAGACGACGACTCCACTCCAAACCTATTCTCAGTCCCACTCCAGAGCCTGCAGCTTTATAGTCAGATATATTTGTTGGGTCACAGGCATCAACAATTTTCTTCAATTGGGTTGTGAGAAAAAGTGTGTGAAAACCACTGCACTATAAGGCCCTGGATTGGAACCCAGAGTTGAGGGTGGGTCTGAGTTCCCATACCCTTTACTGCAGTGTGGCATGGCTGGGGCAGTGAATGGGAAGATGGACAGGGCAGCAGACATAATGACTGCCTGCTGCTACTTGTGCTGAGAGACTGTATGACTGCCTTTGAAGGGGAAATCACAGTGTGACTTGGCGGGAAGCCACCAAGCCAATATACCAGTGGTGCGCAACCTTTTTCCTGGCATGACCCCCGGGAAAATGTTGGTTGAGCAAAAAAACACCCCAAAAATGTGGCCCTTTAAATGCCACTCTGCTCGCCTGCCGCTCCTCCCACCTTCACCAATGCACGCTGAGCCGGGGGAAAAAATGGCAGACAGCCTGGTGCTGTGACTCCCCCGGAAGACAGCCACGACCCCCTTGGGGGTCATGACCCACAGGTTGCACACTACTGCAATATACTGTGACTCCATGTCCCAGGGAAGGGCTAGGTTGGAAAAGAAGAAATGGGTGCTAAACTGGGCAGAGCTAATCACCTGAAAGGGGTGCTATCCAGTAGCCACCAGAGTGCACCATGACAGTGAGTCACTTCATCTTTCTCTTGGGGAATATAGTATCTCTCTCCTTTGTAGAGCGTATTGAGAACTATGGATGAAAAGTGTTATAGAGTAGCTAGGTTTTTAATTATTTGAGGTGTTAGACTCAAGACATGTTGCCTAATATGGACATTTCTTGTTCAGGTTTCACTTTTTGGTGTTGTTTAAATATAGGCTTCAGGAACTTTTCCTGCTTCAAGTAGGACAGTGAAACATAGGTCATTGGTCATGGCGCTATTTCTTGTATGTACTTAAGCAGTTAGTTGGAGTTGCCTAGATTTGAAAGGTAACTTGTATTCCAGTGTGTTTCTCTGTCAGGGTGCCCAACTGGTTCTGCTTTTCTTGAGCAATTCCTAGTAGTTGATTTCAAAGCAGCTCAGGTGCTAGCCTTGAAGAAAGCTGATTGCTCTGTCCCCAGAAGGAATAGCACCTTTGTCTAAAGACATAATAGAAGTAAAACTGAGAATCCTCAGTATGCTGACTGGTCAGCAAATACAAAGACACATGCCAAAGCAAAATAAGAAAATGGTAACTGTGAGGCCATTTCCCAAAAGAGTCAGCTCTTGATTGTATATTTAGGATGGTCTCAAGAAACTAATTTTATCCCCAAATACGACAAAATAAATCAGCAAGCACTTGTAAATGATTTTTACAGGACTAACCAGAAGTCAGAAGAACAAGAATCCTATTCCAATAGTATCTATGTCCTAAACTTAAGGAAATACTTTATGCTGCAAAGTGGTGGAGAGAGTGTGGTTTGAGGGTGCCAGGAGAACCAGGATCCCATATATAACGGTGCTTTAAATATTCTGTCTTAAAAAGTTTAAATAGTTTTGTTTTCACATACAATGCTTTAATACAGGGGTTGTTAGCCGTATTCTTTCTGGATATCCCCCGCCACCCATGTTATAAAAGCTCTTCGGCCCGCCTATGCCATGTTTTTCTGCTTATAAAGCCAGGGCTGGTGTTAGGAAGTAGCAAACAGTGCACTTGCCCAGGGCTCTGTGCCACAGGGCTCCTTGTGAAGCTCTGTTGCTCAGTCTTCGGTTTCAGCCCCAGATGGCCATGCTCGAGGCCCTGGGCTTCAGCCCTATGCAGTGGGGCTTTGGCTTTCTGGCCTGGGCCCCAGGAAATCTAGTGCCTGCTATGCTTATGTATAATCCTGTTAAGAAGATGCAGATTTATAATGAAGCAGGACTGTCATTGTTTCAGTTGATAGTGAATATGCAAAAGGGAAACAGTGATGCCTCACATTATTACAGGGGAATGATTTTGTTTTCAAGGACACCTGGTATGCTTGAAAGCGGTATGCAGTCTTAGCAGGAATTCTCCTATGAAGCCTGTTTAATAACCTGAATCTTGATCATGCTATCCTGTTTCACCGGCAAGAGCCACACATGCAATGGATCCTCTGGGCACTGATCACACAGAAAAGGTGGAATATCAGATGCCTCTGCAGCACTATGCCATTATCTCCAACCCTATATTGAGGTGATCTTCACTTTTAAGCAGAGATTCCCTATGCTGTAGATTTCCCCCCTTTAGGAGAGCTCCAGCTGCACTGAACAACAGGAGAACCCACTGGAACTAATATAGAGCAGGGTGGG